TTAAATCTCACAGTTCTGAGAAAAAAAGTCAGAATTACGAGATGTAAACTTGCAATTGCAAACAAAAAATTAAGAATTGTATAATAAAAAGTCGCTTTTACATTTTTTTATTCAGTGTCAGCTCCTACGTGAGCAAGTATGATATAGCATGTTAAATGTTTATTTCCATCTCATCTGATTGTGTTCTTTTTGTATTTTTAGACTCAGTCAGTGTAAATATGAGACAGAATCCACAATATTAGATGTTAATTGGCAAGTTATGTTCACTTTTCTTGCTGCATAAACGTTTTCCAATTAACTTTTTTATGGGCATCTTTTGACCACATTTCATAACACATTATTATCCCACTGTGGGGTTTGAAGCCGTCATAATGCCGCCTCTCAGTATAAAAAATGCTTGTCACGTCAGTATGCGCCTCGGGTAGACATGGTTGAGTGTCATTCATCAGGACCTGGCTGTGGAAAATCAACAGCATCGATTGTTCACATATCTCCTGCAGGGACTGAGCAGATGAGCCACAGGATGCTGCAAAGGTATTGTCATCAGGAGCGCTTCCCATGCTGTTATCTATGGCGACACTAACCTGTCTCATGAACTAACTCAAGCTGCTTTGCTACACAGCCCGACCTTGATGCATCTCCAAAGTGGCGTGTTTTAATTTCATGGATTTACCTGGCAAGCAAGCCAAGCTAGTGCACAAGAAGGTGCTTTTCCATCATCTGTTTTGCTTCAGTAATGACCTGCCTCTTAAGCAGCTTCAGCAGAGGTGGAAATCTGTCCTTGTTTTCTCTCTTCTCCTCTGTAAGAGTGCCATTCACAGGCTACTGAGACTTGCTGTAATCAAGTTTGAAAGATGGGCTTGATTGAGAAGGGGCTCTTATGGGTGAATCTGATATGTAGCCACCCACATCTGCGGCTGCCTCTCATTCAGATCCCTCAGAGACAGCGAGATAATGCCGTCATCAACATGTTTGCATATAGACAGAAACGATATATTATGTATTGCATAAAATGGATTTAGTTATCGTTGTAATTTTTGTAGTGTTTGTCTCGGAATACTGCTTGTACTCAAGCAAGCCTAATAAAAATGCTGTTAACTGCTGTGTGTTTGACATTTGCAGCAAGCTCAAGGCAACACAGAGTGAGCGTTCTCCGATCAAAGAAATTTGCCCTTTTGGTGCCCATTTTTCCATTAGGAAAGTGACAAGTGAGTGTTGCTTGATCCTCACTTGATAGTTACTGTCAGGAATCCAATTAAATGTCCCCATTGATAATCTGCAGTGCAATTGTGTCACAAAGACATTATAATAGGACTACTTGACTTGAAATACTTTGCTGAATTCCATAGAGACCACAAGCACTTTAACAATAAAAGACACATGCTGATATTAAAAATAACTCTCTCTCTCTCTCTCTCTCTTTTCAATTTGCGTTTTTATTTTATTTTTTTTTAGCTTTTTTTAGCTAAAATGTATTTCAAATAAATGCTTTACATATGTTGCAAACAGAATGCCTTAAGGAAATATATTTTTTTTAATATAGCAAATAGATTCAATTTAAACCTTTAAATCTAATTTCAAAATATATTTTGGACAATATACACCTCAAAATTTTGGAGTCAGTAAGATGTTTTTTTTAAAGTCTTGTAAGCTCAGTAAGGCTGCAATAGTTTCATTAAAATATAGTAAAAGCAATAATTGTCAGGATCATGGACCTGTTTTGTTGTTTTGCCCCTGTCTTTGTTCCTGGTTTTCCTTATATGGTCTTTCCTGTCCTCGTTTAGTTTAATTATGATTCCTGGCACCTGTGTTTGTTAATTATCCCCAGTATTTAAGTCCTTGCCTTTGCGTTCTATGTTTGTCTGTTCTACTCGTTATTTTTCCTGCCATTTCCAGTGTGGATGTACCTTGTGTTCTGTGGATTAAAGACTGTTTTTGTTTATTTGTGGCTCCTGCATGCTTCCTAAACAGCGAACTGTGACAATAATATTGTAATAAAAAAAAAAAACACTATATGAATTTATTCCTGTAATGGTAAAGCTGAATTTTCAGCAGCTGTTACTTTGCATGATCCTTCCTTTAATATGCTAATATTCTAATTTGGTGCTCAATATGCATTGCAAATAGTTGTACTGCTTAATATTTTTGTGGAAACTGTGACAAGTTTTTTTCAGGATACTTTTAATGACCTCAAAGTGACAGACCCCAAACTTTTGAATGGTAGTGTAAATATATTTATTGTAGGTCTAAAATATATATAAAAATGTCAAAAATACTTTATGAAATATAAGTAACTAAACTTATACTTATGATATATGTAAATATATTTTTTAAATATTTATTAGCAATAATTTTTTTGACCATTTGTACATATGAAATTCATATTTTTATGCAGTCTCTGGGAACTGAACTCCTGATTTGGTGTTGCCACGCTATGCTCTCCCATTTGAGCCATTTGAGTTTTTTATTTCCTTGTCTAATGCTTTATTTTAATATTAACTGCATCAAACCCTTGCAAATTGTTATTTTCTTTCACATGTGAAATAATGTGCCAGGACTTTGGAAAATGATTACAGACACTTCCCGAACTGGAGGCTGGTTCACCAGCTTTCCTTGAAGAAGCAAGAGCGTTAATTGCTACATTTAGCACACGCTGCGGTGGTCTCTGAGTGGGACGGTACTGTGATAACCTAATAAGAACTCGGCACAGTGTTTTGACAGAATATGACATATGTAAGTGCTCTTTGGGTTGGTGCCAACACAAGGACCCATCTTAAAAAGAGCTCTCTAGTGAGTGCTGCTGATTGTACTGAAATAGAGTGACAACCCAGCATGAAGCCGAGTGAAGAGCATCTCTCAGAAAGATCAGGCATGACATCCGTTAACTTCATTTAATGACATTCACTCTCATTAAGGATAGATACATGGCTTCATTGTGATGACGAGTGCAAATTTGCTCAAAATTAAGCCCTTTTCCTCTGGGATGGTCCTGCTGGCCTTTGTAACAGACCATTTATCCTACTTTAAGCGACATGGATGATTTGACAAAATTTGAAAATGCAGGATTTGTTAGGTTAAATATTAGAGTATTAGATATCAGATATTAGATTAGACTAAAGAATGTGTTTTTGTGTCTGAGTGTTGCACTTGTATTCAAAGCTGAATTTTCAGCAGCATTACTCCAGTTTTAGTGTCACATGATCAACATGTCACATGATCAGAGTTCTAACTTATCAAATTTAGAAACTGTTGTGCTGCTTAATTAATTAATTAATTTTTATTTTTTGTGTTTTAAATGCAAAAATGCATTCTGCGTGAATAGCCCCTAAACGTAGTCGCTGGGGCCCGGAGCCCTAGTGGTCAAGTCGCACTGTATATGGGGCCATGGGACCCCAAACACTATGTAGCATTTTATCTGTATTGATTTGAGTATTAAGCAGACGCTCTGTTTTGGCTTCCCCTGTCGCCGCTGGCTTTAGAGGTGGACTTCCTGTCTGGCAGTGTTGTCTGTCTACAGCCAGGATCTCTCTTGGGACTCAGGCCAACACTCATCGACCCATTTAGAATAGTTTGCGCCATAGACTCGCGTTTTAGCCACTAGATAGAGAGCATTAAACGAAGTGAAGTGCTTTCATGGGTAGAGAGGGGAAATTAGTCTCACGTGGTAATGGATGGGATGACTAGAGTGTTTTTTTGGATAATGAGGGCGGGTCCTCATGTAGCACAGCTGTGTTTTGTTCGACATGTGCCTTCTGTTTATACTCGAATTGAAGTGGTTTTGCTTTATTTTAGCTGTGTCATGTTGTCATGGGCTTACAGGGGTCGGGGGCTGGCTTTGATTGTTTATATATATAGCTACTGTATGCATTAAATGTCTCCAAAGCAACTGAGATCTCGCCTCCTACACTACACGTGCAAAAAAAAGAGCGTTGAGCGCCACAACATGACAGCATGCAATCTCCAAAGCAGAGAAAGCTACCTAATCTCATTACACTCCCTCTCTCCTGCAAAACCACGAGCTGTTTTCATCAATGCCGGGATTATTTATAGACCGTAGGTGCGAGCTTGTATATTCCAAAGGCCTCCACCGATGCTTAGACGCCTGCGTAACCAGAGAGGAACGAGAACAGACGTTCCCATCACAAGTGAAAGGAGCATTTCTGTGGCTGTTAAAGATTTTGGGAATATAAATAGATTTGGAATAAATAAATTTGACCCATGCTTTGTGTGCATTGGTTACTTGATGCATTTAGTAATGTGTGCAGGAGACGTAGGTGTGTGTTTACACCTGTTATGATTGACAGTTTGGTTAGAATGTGATACTACACAGCACATGAAAAAAGCTGTAAAATAACCAGATCTAGTCTAATGGTGTAAATGAGTGGTGTAAATAAAAATAAGCATTGTGCTTTCATACTGACAGTGAAATTTCTAGTGTTTTCATTAATGATGGCTTTGACATACACTAATGTTCAAACATTTGGAATAAGAATGGTCTCTTATTCTTACCAAGTCTGCATTTATTTGATCAAAAATACAGTAAAAACAGTCATATTTTGAAAATAGGATAATAGTTTTGTATTTTAATACATTTCTGGAGTAATTCTGCTTTGCCATTATAGGAATTAATTAAATTTGAAAATATATTAAAATGCAAAACAGTTACTGTATTTTTGATCAAATAAATGCAACCTTGTTGAGCACAAGAGATATCTTTTAAAAACATTTTTTTAAAATCTTAATTATCCCAAACTATGTACAAAGCATTGTTTGCATTTTCTGCTGAATTCTGCGCACGACATACAGCAAAAATAGACTCAGTGTCAACTCCACTTGCAGCTCCACTTCTGCTGTGCTGCTTTTGTGGGCTTTGTTAATTCTGTATCATGTCAATATGGGTGCTGAAATAAAAGTGAAACAGGCCTAGATTGTAGATACAGTATGAGATGTGAGTCAGCCAAACTAACTAGACATACTCTCTTTCTTCTCTCTTCCTGTAGATTGAGGACATCATCACACGCCTCCAAGATGAAACTGAAGGTGTGCCTGTCAGAACGGTCAAGAGCTTCCTGTCCAAGATTCCCAGCGTTGTTACAGGTATACTGGCAGGAGTGGGAAATTAGAAAATCATCAGTATAGCAGCAAGATGAACACTGCATCATTTGTTTGTTTGTTTGATTGCTTGCTTGCTTATATGTATTTGTTTATGAAATTCAAGTTATTTATTCTATTGGCTAGTAATATTTGGCTTTCACATCTAGCTCTTTGTGTCTCTTTTCAGCCTTTGTTTATTTTTTTTATTTTTTTTGATTAATGTTTTTCTCTTATCAGAATTATTATTAGCAGTCAGACATGATTAATTTATTCTGTAAGCAAAAGTGTTTCATAATAGGTTTATTATTCATATATAGGTTCATATATAGGTATACATATATAGTCTTCATCTGATTTTAATAAATATATATTTCAAAAGTATTATTCATTACAGTTGGTGTAAAACTTTTTTAATGAGGAAAAAGTTACCGAGTGTACCTTTCAAATAGCAGTTTTCTTATTTTTTTAAGTTAATGATGCTTTCAAAAATATGTTCTTAATTTATATCAGTGTCAGTGCTGATAAAATATGTACAGGGGGCTGTGCTTTATAGTTGCCAGGGCATTTCATAGATCAGAGGGAGGATTTTTTTTTTTTAAATCGGTGACAGATCAGGAGCCATACGCCCCTGTGGTCTCCACCGATCCTACTAACCACTTTAACTTTCACAAATTCCTTTAGTGTGTGTGTGAGATAATGAATGCTGGAAGAACAGTTATTTGTCCTTATAAACCCTCAAAGAGAATAAACTTGAAGATATGGCTTGATTTGCACACATCGCTAAACACAATTACTACAGTGAGCAGCTCTAAATGGATGCCGCAGGCCCACATTTGGATAACTAATAGCTGAATTGGAACTAAAGCGTTGATGTTGTACATGATTGAGGTGCTGCTAATATAGATTTAGCTTGAATGTTCTGACACACATTGAATTTTAAACCATAACGTGTCTTGACACACTGGTGATTTTGATCTTTATCAAGGCTTTGAGAATTTATGCATAAATTTGCATGTGAAAATAAGGTGATATGTTTCCCCGTTTTAAACATCAGGTTCTGACATTGTTCAGTGGATGATGAAGAGCCTCAACATAGATGATCCTGGTAGGTGTTGATATGAAGAAAGTTACACATCTTATTGTTGACTGCAAATCATTTGTGAAAGCGAATGCATTATTTTCTGTATTTACAGCGGAGGCCATACACATCGGCAGCCTGATCGCCGCCCAAGGCTACATATTCCCTATCTCTGATCATGTTCTCATCCTCAAGGATGATGGGACGTTATACCGCTTTCAGGTGAGCTTATCCATCTACTATCACGTGGAATGTATCCTGGCAGCTGTGGTTTCCAGGATGTGATCCTGTTTCACTTCAGCACTGCCGAGATTCTGAATCTACTGTGCAGATCACACCTAATCACACTATGAAGAAGCTCCACTGACCTTTACACCTACTGAACAAATAGGACTGTGTTTGATCAGTGCAGCTGCCTTTATTAAGCCCTTCTCTATACAGGTAGTACATTACTAAGATTTATTTAACATACTATATATACACAACCTGAAAGAAATGAGTAATTTTATTCAGCAAGGATGCATTGTGCATTAAATGGATCAAAAGTGACAGTATAGTGTCAATTTTTTTTTTATTTCAAATAAATTCTGTTCTTTTGATTTAAAAAAAAAAACGTATCACTGTTTAAACAAAACGATGCAGCACAACAGTTTTTAACATGGCAATAATAAGAAATGTTTCTTGAGCAGCAAATCAATATTAGAATGATTTCTGAAGGATCATGTGACACTGAAGACTGCAGTAATGATGCGTTTCCAGGATGTGATCCTGTTTCACTTCAGCACTGCCGAGATTCTGAATCTACTGTGCAGATCACACCTAATCACACTATGAAGAAGCTCCACTGACCTTTACACCTACTGAACAAATAGGACTGTGTTTGATCAGTGCAGCTGCCTTTATTAAGCCCTTCTCTATACAGGTAGTACATTACTAAGATTTATTTAACATACTATATATACACAACCTGAAAGAAATGAGTAATTTTATTCAGCAAGGATGCATTGTGCATTAAATGGATCAAAAGTGACAGTATAGTGTCAATTTTTTTTTTATTTCAAATAAATTCTGTTCTTTTGATTTAAAAAAAAAAACGTATCACTGTTTAAACAAAACGATGCAGCACAACAGTTTTTAACATGGCAATAATAAGAAATGTTTCTTGAGCAGCAAATCAATATTAGAATGATTTCTGAAGGATCATGTGGCACTGAAAATCCAATAATATATATATTCAATTGGAAAATAGTTATTTTTAGTTTTAATCATATTTCACATAAATACACATATATGTAGTTATGGGAAGACTTCTTTTCAAAAACATTTTAAAAAGTATTGTGTTATGTTTATTGTCTATCGCTGTTCTTTTAAGATTTAAGGTGTTAATAAGTCTGTCCTCCAGAAAAGGGGATATTCATCTGATAAAGGCTGATCCTTAATTTTTCAGTGATTCAGATGATTAGTGAGGAGATGGCCAAGGGCACGTCTTCCTCTGAACCTCTTTAGCTCATGTAACTCTTATGTTTCACAGGAGAAACACTGCTGGGTAAAGCTGTGAGAAGCTCTGTCATTTCATTTGGAAATGATTGCAACATTGAACAGATACTCTTCAGCCAAAGATTTCTGTAATACCTGGAGAAAGCTATCAATTTGCATTCCCATTCATCTCAATGGCAGTCGCTCAGCTGGAGCTTGACAGCGTGATTTGAAATCTGCCATCTTTACTCACAGGCACTCAATTACACTGATCCACCATATTTACCATGTCAATCTGGAATTTGTCTTTAAAGAGCCAAAAAATCAGTCGCATGCAAAACATTAACTAAAATACAATGAAATGTTGGTGCAGATGTAATGGTTATGCATCAATACTCAATTACAGTACTAAAGTATCATGTTAAATTAATATATTCTCAATATCAACTAATGCACCAACTGTAATTTATCCAGCGTTTTAGCCGAATTCTCAGATAATGGCATTAGGCTATCTTTCCAATAAGCTTGATACAGTATCAATAAGCCCCTGAATGAATCTGAGTTTCTTTTGTACGTTCATTAATTACTCAGAAGGGAATTAGTGTTTCTGTTTCTCTGGAGTATGGCTCATCAGCTCATTGCCTGACGATAATGATCTCAATGCACCATCATTTGCTTTGTGCCGCCTGTAGTCTTTTAGACTGGCTCCACAAAGGCGAGGGAGTTAGGTCAGTTGTTACAAATGTAGTTAATAGCTTTCATAACATGAATATCTTCATATAATAACTGCACGGCAAAGGAATCACAATTCCAGCTTCAGCTTTGGCTAGTAAACAGATGGCAGACATTCTTAGCACTCACACTTGATTTTAAATAGAATCCATGTAAATCAGTGAAGTAGTTACTGACAATCCAGAAGCTATTACTGTATCTAAATATCCAGATATTGTCTAGATTAGCATTTCTCAACCATTTTGACTCAAAGGCCCCCCCGGTGTTCAACACAGTATTCAAAGGACCCCCATATTGGCCTCTAGTATTTCAGCTTTGGTCCCACTTTATATTAGGTGGCATTAACTACTATGACTTAAATTAATCATTTGATACAATACACTTACTGTGTACATACATGTTTTTACATTGTTCTTATATTTTAAAAAATAACTGCTTGTAATTACATCTGTAATTAATTTCAGGAATTACATTTATAGTTACACTGTTGACCCATCCCTTACACCTTAACCTACCCTTAAACCCATACCACCAAACCTGTCCCTAACCTTATCCATATCCCACCTCAATAGAAGCAAACGTGTTTTGCAATAAATAACACAATAAGTACATTGTATTTATTTTTTGATCTAAGTACACCTAATATTATGTGTGACCTCTGCTTTTAGTCACAATGTTGCTTGCTTTCAAATATTTGGTTACACTTTATTTTAAGGTGTCCTTGTTACAGTGTAAATATACATTTAAGTACTGAGTAATATTAATTAACAACATGTTCTTACTATATGGTTAGGGTTAGGATTAGGGTTTGGCTTGGGTTTACTTGCATGTAATTATGCATAATTTATTGTTATTATAATAGTAAGTACATGTAACGTGTAACAAGGACACCTTAAAATAAAGTGTTACCAAATATTTTTATTAACACAAACTGGGAATGTTGAAACTGTATGTACTTATATATAGGTGTATCATATATATATATATGATATATATATAAATTCTAGCCAAAGTAATGAGCCAATAAGTATTTTAAGTATTTTCATGTTAATTTAATATAGACTTTGTCTAAATAAGGGGGGGAAAACACCAAAAAAACTAACAAGTAAATTCAGGCATAATTTTTATAGTATAAAAAAGGAATTTCATTGTGAGATTACAAATTAGATTTAACAGTGTTATTACATTCTTTGTGTTTTTACAGATCAACTTAAAGTCAGTGTTAGATGACAGCAAAGGAAATCTAAATGTAAAAATATGAGAAATGAGCAGTACAATTGAAAGTATTTTGGCTAGAATAAGTTTATGTTCATACTCTAAAATCTGCCTACTCAATTTTACAATTTTGCTAATCTACAAAAGAGTAATCATTTCTATCTTTCCCACCAGGCTCCATACTTTTGGCCCTCTAATTGCTGGGAGCCAGAGAACACAGACTACGGTAAGAGAAGGACCCTCCTGGGCATGGTCACAGTGACGTAAGAGCGCACAGAGCTTTACCGTAGATGTTTTTCAGAGGGCTAATATAACTCATAAGGTCCCAGAGGCGCTGGACACCCCATGTTCAGCCCACAGTCTGCTTTCCCAGGATTATTACAGCTCTGTTGGGCAGGCGAACAGTCAGGGAGAACTGCCGAGCATTAGTAGGTGTATGAGAATGTGTTGACTGTGGGCAGATGTTCACCGATGGTCAATGGTGACTCATTCTCAGTTCCTACTGTCTGTAAACTGGCCAAGCAGAGATGATAGATGCAGAGGAAAATACTAAATCCAATCAAGGGTTTATACTGGATGTGTGTGCGTTTGTAGGGGTGGGATTATACATGACGGTTGATAAGGCCAAGTCTCTTATGGCCTCTTGTCTGTTTCTCTCTTCTCTGTCTGTCTCTTTCTCTCTCTGATGCCTGTCACAGCCATCTATCTGTGCAAACGGACCATGCAGAACAAGACCCGGCTGGAGCTAGCGGACTATGAGGCAGTAAGTGACCCACTGCGATGACAGCCGACAGAGAAAATGGAAGCATTTTGCTGGCAAAAGCATCTCAGTTTGTATTTTCACAGCTATTGACATATGTCAAGTTATTTTATACCTGAAAATACCATTTATGAGCCCTTGTCATTGAGAATTAAAGGTGAAGTGTGTAATTTATTTTCAGTGATACTTTCTCCTGTTCTTGCTTAATGTGCAGAGGTAATGATAAGTCATTTGTAGATTGATTCCCTCAAAGAGTGTAAACTCTGTGCCTCTGTGGAGCTTTTAACATCGTTTTTTTTAAAGTGGCCTGAACAAGGACCTCTGTAATACCTGCTTCCATCTTTGTTCATGGATGCTCATTTCTGAACTTTTTGTTGTTGTTGTTGTTGTTGTTGAAAATGGCATTATGACATGCAGACTGACTGAAGTGACACACACTGAAGTGATCCTGAGCTGTGATGTCAAAGTCAGCATGCTCTATGCTTTTCAGAAATATTGGTCACAGTTATATTATAAAGAGCAAAAGTTGATATACTATTTATAATGTATATTTATTTAAAAGAAAGAAAACAAATAAGAAATATACAAATATATATACATTTTATATGCATTTTTACGCATAATTCTATATACAATTTTGAGTTGGTTAGATTTTGAAATGTTTTGAGGTCTCTTTTGCTCATCAAAGCTGCAATTATTTGATTAAAATTACAGGTAAAAGCTATAATATTATGAAATATCATTACAATGTAAAATAACTTTTAATATATTTTAAAATTTAATTTATTCCTGTGATGGCAGAGCTAAATTGTCAGCAGCCATTACTCCAGACTTCACTGTCACATGATCCTTCAGAAATCATTCTGATATTTGATTGACTGATTTAGTTGGTTATTATCAATGTTGAAAACAGTTGTGCTGCTTAATATTTTTGTGGAAACTGTGACAGCATTTATTATAAATTAATAGATTTGTAACATTATGATAAAAAATTATAATTCTTTGCTGTCACTTTTTATCAACTTAATGCATCCTTGCTTAAAATATAATATATAAATATATAAAATAAAATTTCTTATTAATTACCGGTATTTGTAGTAGTTTCTTTAAAAAAACTAAAAATACTGTTTTTACCATTTCTTCTCATATATGGCAGAAATTAGTAATAGAGTTTTAGTATGCTAGTATGCTTTTCCAAATTCAGCCCTGAATATTTAGATGACTTACTACATTTGTCAAAATAGCAGGATATAACATAGCTTACTGCTTTCCCATTAGGCAAGACCTGACCTTATAGTTTAGATGGATGAACCGGAAGTTAAATGTTGTCTGTCTTTCTTTCTTTCTTTCACTTACTCATTTATCTCATTCAGGAGAATCTAGCGAGACTACAGAGGGCTTTTGCAAGGAAGTGGGAGTTCATCTTCATGCAGGCTGAGGCACAGGTCAAGTAAGTGCTGTTGTCAGGACAACTACGCAAACACTTGCTCTCACTCATACCTGCTCTCTTCTGTGTTGAAGACACATCTACCATTTGTTTTCAGCCCACACACATTCACACAAAGACATACTGTATATACACAAGCCCTCATTATGATGTAACATCATAATATTGCTGAAGTGCAGTTGTTAGGGGCGAGACGTATTAGCATGTGTGTTTGATTTGGAGTGGTCCTCATTGATTGAAGCAGTCTCTCGCTCTTCAAACACCGACTGAAGAGCCTCATCTGATGGCCGAGGGCTGCAAACACAAGTCAACCCTGCTCTGATTTTTGATCGTCAGTCTGTCTCTATCATCACACTGTCCGCAGTACACTTTTCATGAGAAAAACCCTAATTTTGAGGAGAGCAAGAACAGAAGAGAAAGAGAGATGAATGAAAGAGTCTCAGGGCTCAAAACCAGGATCAGTGAGAGATAGAGAGAGAGTGATGCAGCAAATGTCAGTTACGTAAGAGTGAAGTGGCAGGAATTGAAATGAATTAGCTCTGCTCGCAGGCAGGTTGCAACTTTGATGAGCACAAGGGCTTCGCTCGTTGTCTGTTTTAATGTGTGAGGCGGAACGTGCGAGTGTGTGGATTGGGAAGGTTTCCTGCTATCTGTTTAATATTAATGTCTTGCAGCTTTGTGTTTTCTTTGATTTTGTAGGATCGACAGGAAAAAAGACAAAACGGAGAGAAAGATTCTGGATAGTCAAGAGAGAGCCTTCTGGGATGTTCACCGTCCTGTGGTGTGTGAGGGGTGGCTCCAGTGTGGGACGGGTTTCTGTGTTTGCATCTTGTTTGAATTTAATAGATCAAATAGGCACACTGTAATAATGAAATACTTAAAACACCATTGGGGTTCCTCAGATTACCACTTTGGAAAACCTCAAGGCTCTTTTTAAAAAGGCCAGTTCTTGCTAATTGGAACCCAGAAGTTCCTTCAAACTCTAAAGACTTGTGTAAAATGCATACCAGAGTTCCTTGAGTACATAACAGGATACTTAAAGGGATAGTTCACCCAAAAAGGAAAATTCTGTCATTAATTACTCACCCTCGTGTCGTTCCAAACCCGTAAGACCTTCGGAACACAAATTAAGATAAGAAAGCTAAGAGCTTTCTGACCCTGCATAGAAAGCTATGGAACTGACACGTTCAAGACCCAGAAAGGTAGTAAGGACATTGTTAAAATAGTCCATCAGTGGTTCAATAGTAATTTTATGAAGCTATGAGAATACTTTGTGTGCACAAAGAAAACAAAAATAACTTCATTTTAAAAACGCAGTGCATTCACGAGTGTCCCACAAGAAATGTTTTGAGAAATGTCTCAGTGTTTTTTGTCCAGACAATTGAAGTCAATGGTAACAAAAACAGTTTGGTAACTAACATTATTCAAAATATCTTCTTTCATGTTTCACAGAAGAAAGAAAGTCATACAAGTGTGGAATGACATGAGGGTGAGAAAATGACAGAATTTAAATTACTGGGTGAACTATCCCTTCATCCCTTTTTCATTTTAGCTGTTCTGATAGCTTATAATAATGAATAAAACCCCATTTTAAAGTGTTAACATATTTAAAGTGTGATTAATCTCAGTTTTTCATAGTTAGCACAGCTGTTAACACATTCAGTTTCTTTTTAAGGAAAGAAAATGAAACAATATGTGTAATTATTGGATTCTGCTATTTGTGTGAATCAAGATTGTAGTGGAAAATGTGCGTATCTTCAATTTTTATATGGCTGATTTACATGTGATTGTGATTGACAGCCTGGGTGTGTGAACACCACAGAGATGGACATCAGGAAGTGCCGCCGCCTGAAGAATCCTCAAAGGGTGAAAAAGGTGCTTATGCTCGTATTATTAGTGTGTGCTGTATGAGACAGAGGGTATTGTGACCCGTCTCCGTCTCCGTCTCTTGTCTTGCAGTCAGTGTATGGGGTAGTGGATGACACACAGACTCAGAGTCCTGTACACACACCCTCCCAGCAGAGCAGCAAGGACACCAGAGAGGACGTCGGGAGAGAGGTGTGTGCGAGCGACGGTGTGAATTTGATTCTTGACAGCCTCACAGCGGCTATTAATATTTAGCACGATCACTCACTTGCTCAAGTGGAGATGCAGTGAGCAACGGTATTCTGTCTCTTTCAGATTCTGTTCTTGAACACTCAGTTGGATCGGCACTGTATGAAAATGTCCAAAGTCGCTGAGACGTAAGTCCTCTTTCTTGATCTGTCCATGAAACTCAAACTTTTCTCAGTAAATATTAATACTTGCCATTAATAATGTGTTAATTAAAAAAACATTATGCTTATTAAAGATGGGCATCATAAAGAATTTATTGGTTCCAGTTCTGATTTCTCTTTTGGTTCTGTTAATGATTCTTTTAGTAGTTCAATTCCATTGCCAAATGATGAGACCTTTAAAAAGACTGAAACGTCTGTTGTAAACATTTTCATAAGAATTGTTTTAGAGACAACATTTATTGCATTTGACTAATTGGCAGTAACTATACAGATTAACAACAATACGAAAACTAAAATTGTGTCAATATATTTTATTAATTCTTATAAAATACTTCAGACAAAACTCATGTGTATCTTTAATTACAAGCTGCCAAACAGTACGAATTTCACTTTATAACAAACAGTTAAATTATAAGCTGTATGTGTTTGATTCATTTAAAAGAACTGACTTATTCAAGCTATTTATTTGGGAATCTACACTGGTTGCGCTGTATGTTTTTGATAAACTAAACAAAATCAGGCTCATAAGAGCTGTTGATTCAGGAATCGAACCACATTAAGTTTAATGCTATAAATTCAGTGGCGGGGTTGCGGTTGTGTGGGAAACTCTGTCCGAGTATTTTAGTACAGTGTACCGTCCACGTTTGCGCAGGAATGCATGTGTGAAAACGGTTCATGTGGTTCCAATAATAAAAAACAGACAGTAATATGAAATAATAACATGATTTCAACCCATTTTTGCAGATTGATGAGCTACACAGAGCAGTATCTTGACTATGACCCCTTTGTGACAGTACCAGAGCCAGCTAACCCCTGGATCAGTGATGATGTCACTTTCTGGGAGCTAGAGGCCAGGTATGAAAACCTAAACACTACATTTCTCTTTATAGATTCCTCTCTTCTCTAGTCTAGTTTTCATTAGATGAAAGGGAGAGGGATCAGGATGTCTGAATTTCTTAATTTCACTTATCTTAACTGAGAGTCTTTTGTCTTGATTACGTTGATCATTTTTAGGGTCACATTTGTCAAAACGCTATTATCTGTTTTGTTGTTATGCTTCTTTTTGGTTTTATTTTGAAAGTCTTGTGTCACTATTATGTTGTGCTTTTGTTACTTACTTGATTATTCTCAAATTGGGGTCAATTTTAAAATAACATGGAGGTCTGCAGACAATTATTTATTCGTTTATAAAATACATGCCTTGTAATGTTCATTGTGATTCCCAATGCATAGCCTTATTGTAAAGTGTTTCATTTAGTTAGTTTAGCTTACAAACTTTCTTCTTTGGCTAATGTGATCCCACATTTTTATGCATACATGAGCGAGGTGTTTTCATTTCGATGAATGGGACGAATTCTGGGATCAACACCACATAGCCCATGCTCCCATTGTGAAAGCTGTAATCTGTTAATATGAACGTATTTGATTTGTGAATCCGGCATTTTGCTTGCTGAAGGCAATAACTGAAAGTAGTAATATAATAGCATGCAGGCATTGTACATAATCGACCAATTGTGGCATGCGAGAATGAGGAATCTACAGAGAACGGTCAAAGCAATGCAAATATAATGTATAAGGACTGTAGAGCACGTCAATAGGGGAAAAAAAGCCAAAACATGGACGTTTTATACAATTTAGCAATCCCGACCAGTACATGTCCTGGAAAAAAAAGGACGTATGGCCACCCAAGAGAAACTCTAGGATGGCGAATTTGAGAGTGTGAGGGGAATGATTTAATGAAATTAATCACAGAGCGAGTGCCATGTCTTCATAGTAACAGTGACTACTCTGATTGGTGGAGCTCTCTTTAGAATTTCGACTAATGTAGTATCTCGTTCAGAATATCACAAGTAGTTTTAAGTCTGCTGAAGTCCTTATGATGTTTTGAATTCTATAAAACACTGCAGGTTCCTTCATCTCCGCTTGCCTGAGCCGTTCTCACAGCTCCTCAAAGATGCCCTGACAGGATTTAAGGAATACCTCCCACACACCCCCTCATCAAGCTTTGCCAGTAACAAACTACTTTTTCCAATAAGTAGCAGTGTATTGTGACGAAACATGAGACAAACACATTCCTCTAAACAGTCCTCTTTATTATGATGTCTAAATAATTCTACTCAATCATATTATTTACATGATTCACGATTACATGACCTTGCACAGAGTATTTTTATGACTTATAATTGTGCCTCTATGTTTTAAAACGTGGCTTTATTTCTTATTTTAAACTTTAAACTTGGTCAGTAAGGTTTTTATTAAGCAAGGATGCATTAAATTGATCAAAAGTGACAGTAAAGGCATTTATAATGTTACAAAAGATTTCTATTTAAAAAAAAAAATGCTGATCTTTTTAACTTTTTATTTGATCAAAGAATCCTGAAAAACAAAAAAAATGTATCACAGCTTTCAGAAATTAAGCAGATTTTTTCAACATACAAAAATAAATAAATAAATAAATCAAGCAAATCAGCATATTAGAATGATATCTGAAGGATCATGTGACACTAAAGTCTTGAGTATTGATTAGTGCTGTCAAACGATTAATCACGATTAATCGCATCCAGAATAAAAGTTTTTGTTTACATAATATATTTATGTGTACTGTGTTTATTTATTATGTATATATAAATACACACACATACAGTATATATTTTGGAAATATTTACATGTATATACATTTATATATTTATATTATTTTATTTTATATTATATATAAATATATTTAATATATAAACATAACATATTTTTCTTAAATATATACATGCATGTGTTAGTATTTACATATACATAATAAATATACACAGTACACACTCATACAGTGGGTACGGAAAGTATTCAGACCCCCTTAAATTTTTCACTCTTTGTTATATTGCAGCCATTTGCTAAAATCATTT